CAACTTAACGATCTTTTGAGACAGGCGGGTCGGAGGGATATCGTAGTGCTGGCTGGGGACTTGAATGCACAGGTCAGGCGTCTGAGCTCAGACGAGAATCGTTTAGGTGGTCAATGGGGACTACATGGTCGCAGGTCAGATAATGGGGACCGTCTTCTGCAGCTTTGCGCGGATCACAACCTATTTCTGGCCAGCAACAACTTCCGGCACAACTATCGCCGTAGCACTACCTGGCGTCCTCCCTCTGCGATCCAAGCTTAGACTCAGATCGATGACATTGCTGTCAGTTTCCGGTGGCGAGGATGCATGCAAGACTGTCGCTCCTTCTGGAGCACATGCCTGGACTCCGATCATGCGTTAGTGTGTGCCAAGTTCGTCTTGCGATTTGGTGGGGTTCATAAAAGGCGTCGTCTAAACGTTGATGTGAGCAAACTAGTAGCACCTGCTACTTGTTTGAAATATCAAAATGAGTTACAATCAATGCTTGCCAGCAACCCCCAAGTAGTATAGATGAACATTGGCTCCATCTGCAAGGTGCCATGCAAAGAGCTAGTGTAGCCGCTTGCGGCCTGAAAGAATGCTCCGCCAAAAACCATTGGGTTTCTGCGAGTTCCTTACAACTCATGGATGAACGCCGGTCCATTCCGGCTGGCAGGGAATACAACAATAAGCGAAAGGCGCTGACGCGCAAGATAAGAAAGTGTTTACGTAAGGACCGCGAGGCCTGGTGGTCAGAACGTGAGGGTGAGATGGAGGCAGCTGCTGCATCTGGCAAGAGTCGGAAGCTGTTCCAACTCATCCGAGCCACCGGCAGCAAGAAACAAGGTGTCAGCGAGACGGTCTGTGAGGCAGATGGCACGCCAATTACCAGTTTGAAAAGACGCCTTGAACGCTGGGCAGATCACTTCGGGAAACAGTTTAGCTGGCCACCAGCTTCAATGTCTGCTGTCATTAGCCCCAGTGCTCCTTGGTCGGTTAATACCGACCCACCCACCGAAGCGGAGGTCCGTAAGGAACTCCAAGTGTTAAAACGCCATAAGGCGCCCGGCCCAGACAATTTATCCCCGGCTCTTTTTAAAGATGGTGGTGAGACTCTCACAATGGCTCTAACTGGGTTGTTCAGGAAGGTATGGGAAACTGAGAGTGTACCATCAATGTGGAACGAAGCCATTATCGTCCCTATCTTTAAAAAGGGTCGACGTAATTCGTGTGACAATCATAGGGGTATCAGTCTGCTACCAGTCGCGTCTAAATTATTGGCTTCTGTCTTGCTTCGCAGGCTGTGCAAAATACGTGAAGGATTGATTCGCGAAGAGCAGGCTGGGTTTCGTTCAGGTCGTGGATGCATTGATCATGTGTTCACCCTTCGTCAGGTGTTGGAACACCGCCACACGTATTGCAGGCCAACGATCGTTGTGTTTCTTGATATTAGGGCTGCCTTCGATTCGTTGGACAGAACTGTGCTCTGGAACTGTCTGTTAGAGAGAGGTGTACCTGAGAAATTTGTTAACATCTTGAAAGCCCTATACAGAAATACCTCAGGTAGAGTGAGGGCATACAAGCAACTATCATCACTGTTCCCAAACAACAGTGGGGTTAGACAGGGTTGCCCAATCTCTCCATTTCTCTTTAACTTTGCCATCGATGACATTCTGGAGTCAGCTCTGAAGGATGTGCGTGAAGGTGGTGTAGATCTGCTCCCTGGAGAGAGACTTTTCGACCTCGAGTATGCAGACGATATCGTCTTACTGTGCGATAGCATGCAAGCTGCCCAAATCGCACTTAATCAGTTGGCGATCAGTGTCTGTAAGTACGGTATGTGCTTTGCACCGTCTAAGTGCAAAGTACTGTTACAAGATTGGCAGGAGCCTGTACCTGCACTCACTCTTGCGGGTGAACCGCTTGAAGTTGTTGATAAGTTTGTGTATCTGGGTAGTTGTGTGAGTGCTGGCGGAGGGGTGACGGATGAGATTTCCAACCGTATAATGAAGGCTAGGGTGGCATACATCAACTTGAGCCACCTCTGGCGCTGTCGCGACGTTAGCCTGGCTGTCAAAAGTCGGGTATACAATGCTTCGGTGCGGGCTGTCTTGCTCTACGCCTGTGAAACCTGGCCTCTCCGAGCTGAGGATGTGTGGCGACTCTGCGTGTTCGATCATCGCTGTCTCCGCAGGATTGCTTGCGTTCGATGGCATCATCGCGTGAGTAATTCTGAGGTTCGGCGGCGTGTGTTTGAACACAGTGGAGATCACCATTCATTGAGTGTCGTCATCTGGAAACACCGGCTCCGGTGGCTTGGACATGTGCTGCGAATGTCATCCCAGAGGCTTCCGTACAGGTCTCTGTTCGCTAGCCCTGGGACGGGATGGAAAAGGCGGAGGGGTGGTCAGTCCATGACGTGGCGTCGTGGGATGAAGGATATTTGTGCTAGATTAGCATCGGTTGGTGTGTCACGACTCCCTGGTTGGGGTCCGCGAGATAGCTCGAATCGATGGCTCGAAACGTTATCGGATATGGCCAAGAATCGTAATCAATGGCGAACGTGCTGCAATTTCCTTCTTTCTTCCCTTCCTGATGATAGCTAACGAATACTGTTTGAACTTGTTAAACATGACTGTTTTCCTTCCAGATGAAGTTCTTTATCCGTTTTCTACTTATATTTTTACTTTTAATCTATGTTGTTTTATTATTATTGTGTGGCGCATCTTTCTTGGTGCCATATTGTACCAAGATTTTCTGCGTTTAAATAAATAAATAAATAAAATATCTCAACTTCATTGACTTTTAAAAGTCCTTCGACAGAGTCGATCGAGAGATGATTTGGCAACTACTTCGCTACTACGGGGTGCCGCCAACAATTATACACCTCATCCAAGCGTTGTATGACAATGCTGCATGCCAAGTAATCCACAACGGGAAACTCACGGAATCCTTCGAAGAAGTGAAAACGGGAGCAAGACAAGCTGGCTGGCTGCCTACTCCAATGATTTCCCTGATTGAGGTAGACTGGATAATGCGACAGACAGAAAGCAGCGAGGAGACAGGCATAGAGTTGACCCAAACAAAAAACTTGAAGGATCTGGACTTCACCGATGATATTTGTCTGATTTCCCAAAAACTGGAAAATATGCAAGTGAAAAGCAAATTGGCAGAAGAAGCATTCAGAGAAGATAGGCCTTCAGATGAACACAGAGAAAACAGAGGTGATGAGGATTCCTGGCCAACAGTGACAGCAACAACAACAGACAACAATCAGCATAAATGGGAGAAATCTGAAAAAAACATGCTCCTTTACCTACCTGGGAAGCATCGTTACAACTACAGGCAGAACTGACGAGGATATCAAAGCGAGGATCGGGAAAGTAAGGCAAGCTTTCATTACTCTTAAATCTATATGGGGGTCAACACTCAAAATGAAAAATAAGATCCGGATTTTCAACTCCAATGTGAAGTCAGTACTACTATGTGGATCAGAGACTTGGCGCGTCACGAAGTACGGTTCGAACAAACTACAAACCTTCATCAACAGCTGTCTTCGCTCAGTACTACTCAAGATCAGGTGGCCGACCAGAAAAGATCAACAACAGGGATGTATCTCTGGCAATGAGCAAACCAACCAAGCAGGAACCGTCTGTGCAACAAATATGCAGGAGGAAATGGAGATGGATTGGTCATACTCTGAGGAGATAAACCATCAAGTGAGTGGCATCACACGTTAGGCCATCGCTCGAGTGGAACCCGGACGGGAAGCGGCGAGTTGCTCGTCAGTGCGAGGGTAACATGGAGGAGGTTATGTGAAGAGAAGAGCCAGGTGAAAACGTTGTCAGAGAACCGAACGGAATGGAGACGTGCAGCTGAAGCCCTCTGTTCCTCTAGGAACTAAAGGAAACAATAATACAATAATAATACATCGACACTAAGGAGGTGAAGCAAGCGTCTTGTATCGGGGCTGAGATTTCATCAGCAATCAATCCATTAGGATTGAATCAACAGCCTACATAAGTGAATTGGTTAATGTATTCAGTCATTTCACCAAATTTCGTGATGTTTTTTTTTCAAATCACATGTTCAAAACACATGAATAAACTCATTAATCTTTTTAAGTCACCTAATTACAATACCACTTAGTCACGTTGCCTAAACCAATAGGCTGTTTAAATTTTTATACGACATTATAAATCAACCTTTCTCCATTTCTTATTATTTTAATCATATAATTATATTCTTGGATCGTAACGGGCAAAGACACACATTTTTGGATGGTCTTCAACCTACACTGTTGTGTGAACTTCAAGAAGGAAATGAGGAAAAATTTTGTCGCAGAGGATTGATTGATTTTACGTGAAGATTATATACAAAGAGTAGATATTTTGTAAAGAATTACGCTGAGAATTCTGTATAGTGTGTATACATATTTTTCAGTGTCCTTTTCCTAGGGATTGGATTGATTTCAATTTTCGATCACGAATTGGCTTTAGTTAAGTTAAAAAAGCATTGAAAACCGACCAGGGAATATTGGACAGTTTGTGGCTTGATAGTATTACGCACTTATCAACCAATAGTCAGCGATTGAGCCTGTAACTTTCAAGTTACGAGGCAAGCTCGTCGATCATCCAGCCAATGAGACGGAATCCAGAGGCCCACCAAAAATTCAGACCTCTGCTACTTTGCAATATATATATATAGGGCAACCATCACCGTCGAGTACTTTCTCTCACGCCCAACTTAGTGGGCGCCACTGTTCATTAATTCTCACTAGGACTTCAAGCAGCAAAGTCCTATAATCAGTCATTAGTGAGCGATAGATTAATTTTCAAGCGTCTGTTTGTAGGAATTTTATTGGTCGGTGGTGGAGAATTGGATGATGCTATAAATTCATGCGCCGTTGGATTTCGTCCCAGTAGCTCAATAGTCAACGGACTAGCTTCGTAACCTAAACCATTCTGGATCCAGTACCTGACGGTGGGGGGTCAAGGGTGCGTGATCAAAACTTAAAAACATACTGTGCAGAATAACGCCATTATAGTTATTATGCATATTTGTAGCTAAGATATTATACAATTCAAAATATTTACACTTATTCAGTAAAAACAAAAGGTACTTTACAATCATATAAAGAAGTAAAATGATCGGAGAAAGAGGATAATCACATAGTTATACACAATAAACACACATGCATACACACGTGCACTCACGCACACACCCACACACACACACAAGGAATATTATTATGATTATTACACATGATGGAAATGTTAAAAAAAAGGTGAAATATACAAAAATAAGTAAAATGTACAAAAGTGACGTTTAAAAAGTAGGTGACGAGAGAATAAAGAATTGCGTTTTCTTTGATTCAATCCATTTAACTAATTGTTTACGAATTTCGCCTAACTCTTCTTTTGTAATTATTGGTTCCAGTGTTGCATACAACTCGAAAGTATCAGTTTTCTAAATAAAAATGGGAGAAATGAAAATATATGAGTGAGTAATGCATCATGATATTATATATATATATATACATATATATATTACAGAAAATAGTTCTAGATCCTTATGAATTTTTTACGATCACTATTTCAAGAAGTCACCAGAAGATTTGAACTTAGTCGACGACTTATATCTTATGTTATACAAAATCGAAGATCTACTGACGTATACCAATAAGTTGGCAGAAGAAGTAGACAGAGAAGACAGAACTTGAAGTGAACATATAAAAGAAATTTAAAGAGAGTCACTTTCACTGACCCAGACAACATCGTCCCGACTACAAGTGGTACAGATGAGGACGTTAAAGTCAGCCAGCCAGAATAGAAAAAAGCAGGACAGGCCTTTGTCACTCTGAAGTCAGTGTGGGAATGTGTAGCATCATGAATAAAAGAACAAAACTTAGATTTCAAACAACAATGTCAAACCAGGCTTCTGTATGGGTCAGAAACTTGACACGTCATGAAAAATGTTTATCAACAGCTGCTTTCACTCCTCGCTGAAGATAAGATAGTCGATCAGAAAGGATAGGCAACCAGGAAGTGTTTCAATGAACATACCAACAACTTATTACCTAACAAATATTCTCAAAGGAGTGGAGATGCATTGGACACTTACTGAGAAGGCCGTTGAGTGAAACAAGGGTAATATGGCGGAGACAATGTGAGGAGGAGATGAGAGCTTATATGAAATCAAGGAGCCACCTAAAGATGACTGCAGAAAACGAGATGAAATAGAGATATGCTGTTGAAGCCCTACGTTCCATTCAAAATCTAAGGAAATAATATTATTTTATTTTATCTGAAATCGTTATTTCCATTCAAACATATCTGGTTGTCAACAACGAAACTTAGCCAACTTCTAGTTGACTTTATACACTTTTCCCTTTAAAGATAATCAATCAATTCATCTGATCGTTGTAGTCTAATGCATACAAAGTGAAATTCTGAAAAATCACTATTAGAAACACTAAGCTTTTGGATTAAAGTTTAACTACCACTATTTTCATTGTAGACAACGATACTGTGATCAGTTCATCTTTAATACAACTACAACTTCGCTTGTAAATGACGTCAAAATACGCAGAACCAAAAGGCTAACTCCTTATTATACTATTAAATTGAAACTGCTTATTGAAAGTAACTTAATGTGGCTTTATTTGATGATTTAATTTTTTAATACATCGACATCAGAGTTGTGAACGCCATTAAGATGGCGTGAGATGATGCAAATAATCTACTGGTTGAAATATTGCGAGCAAAAAATGAATTACTGAGGTCTTCGAGCAGGTAAAACTCGATGGTTTGAGACTATTAGTGTAATATGATTTAGAATCATTCCCAGTGGTGCTTCTGTGATCTTTTAGATCCATGAAATCACTATTATTTTCCTCATACTTATTCTTCCTCCTATACATTTCCTCTCATTATTATTATTGTTTCCTTTAGTTCCTAGAGGAACCTAGGGTTTCAGCCGTACGTCTCCATTGCGTTCGGTTCTCTGACAACGTTTTCACCTGGCTCCACGTCTGCCCACATGCTTTCACCTATTCACATGACCTCCTCCATGTCACCCTCTCAATGACGGCAAACTCGCCGCTTCCCATTCCATTCGGTTTCCACTCGAGCGATGGCCTGTCGTGTGATGCCACTCACTTGATGGTTTGTTTTCTCAGAGTATGGCCATTCTACCTCCATTTCTTCCTGCATATTTGTTACACAATCGGTTCCTGCTTGGTTGGTTTGCTCATTGCCAGAGATCCATCCCTGTTGCTGATCTTTTCTGGCTGGTCACCTGATCTTTAGTAGTATTGAGCGAAGACAGCTGTTAATGAAGGTGTGTAGTTTGTTTGAGGTGCTCTTCATGACGCACCATTCCCCTCATTATAGTTCCTTTTGATATGTTCTCCTATCTTTGTGTGCTACATGGAGTATGGCAGCTTGAACCGCTGCACTTGTTTGCATAGTTCTAAGATTGAAAACTAAGTCAACCAATCAACATCCAGTTATAAATACTGCATGACTATGTGATATTTGAAATAAACTTATTTAATATGGCATTACATTCTATACCAGAATGCCCAAGTTCTACACTTAAATTAAGTTGGCAATCAGGTTTTTGCATTCGATTCAACGAAAATTACACTATATTTAATCCTGTATTAATTTACTGATAACAGGAATAAATAAAATTGAATTTATATAAGAATAAAACTTGGGCACTGTGGTAGAGCATAACTCCATTAAGGATAAGATTTTATTTTGATAAATCACACAGTGTTGTACAGTAATATTAACTGATGATATTTCGAGCATAAACTATTGCTTATAATCATATCAAGTTGATATGATTATGAAAATTGAATTTAACTTAAAATACGTGGGACTATATACTACTTTTTTTGATTGCATACTAGTCAGTAACTAGTGTAATGTGTCTAGTCCTATCTTCGGTGCAGACTGAATTCTATCAGTTATGCTTGCGATGTGGCCACCATGCTAGGTGGCTCGCCATTACGGTGCACTATGATGATGCACTGATGAGTGCCAACTAGCACGAAACCTAGGTTCAAGGCTTCCTGCCGATTGCCTCCAACCATCTAAAACGAAGAATGATGTTTGTTCAAACACACACGTGAAGATGTACTTCATTGGTTTGATCATTCAAATTTCAGCCGACTGGTTCTACGTTGAAATCCCACTTCGCCTACTTTAACCAAGGCAACTGAATAGTATTACTAGCCCTAACAAAATAAAAGTGTATGTTCAGAGTTGTAGCTTATTGGTCTAGGCGCTCCACTTCTAAACAATGTTACGTGTTTGAACCCTGCCCCCACCTTTCAAAGTTTGGGCGGTCACGTAGTACCACACTAACCCTTACATACAATAGGGGTAGTTCATTTTCAACAGCATAGAACTGCAAGTGGCTGGAGAGTAACATTTCATTTTATAACACAATGAACGTGACCTATGGCTTGATATATGGAAAATCTGTTCCGTATAACTGATTTCTAACAAAAACTCAAAAAAGATAAATAAATAAATACATACATAAAATACTTACCCAACCGAAATGTAATTCAGTAGTTGTCACTTTATAGATAAATTTTGTTGACATTGTAGGTGAATGCAGTCTCATATGTAAGCGTTTATAGGATAATAAAACATTTCGACGTAATTTCTGAATAGTATCACTATTGATTGATGCAGATTCTCTTTCAGGATTTAAACTAGATAGGGAAGTATTGGTTGGGTCAGACTTACTCATAGCCGTATATGGTACACTCCATTGACTGGTAATGTATTGAGCGATAGGAATAGACTTGTATACAAAATGTCGTAAATTCTTAATACCAGTGTCAGCTATTTGTGGAAGTTTCGATGATGATATTGCAGATAAATAATCACCATTATTTGTAGTGCTCAATGACTAAATTATTTACAAATAAAATAAAGAAACAAGTAAATATTTAACGATAAACGTAAATATTCATCACTATGAAAAGAGAGATAAAAATCATATTGCGTTAGTAGAGGAATGGGAAACTCGAATAACTGACTGATTGACGCTACAGTAATAACCGAGTGAAAATTGCATTACATGAATAGAACACTATTTCAGCGGGGATAAGATGCAGCCTGCTGCCGTACTAGATATAGTGGAAAACTTGAACAGTTTGAAGAAGCGGCTACGGTCTGTAAAGCTAAGGTTCCAAGTTAAGCAACATGAGGTGATACGTATGGACAAAACAGACTTTCAATCGGCTTAATCCACAGCTATTGATCAAATGAAAAGTCATCTTCCTAACAGCTGTCAGCCAGTCTTCTCTAAATTGCTTGACAAAATCCCTATTGTCAACAACGCGAACATGTTATTCTCTTCCTCTGATGTTGCCATAAAGGCCTGTGGAATGTTCAGATCTTTGAGGCTAGGAGAACTGGTGGCTTTATTTGCGAATGTGAAGATGTTTATGCAGGTTGATAACGCAGCTTTTCATCATGGTGCATTGTCTTTCCTATGGTGAATGAATGCCCCCCCCCCTACTACCAGGGAGACCAATGATGATAAATTGAAACTCTAATCTAGTGAAACTTTGAAGGCGAAGGAAATTAGTTGCAGGAATGATGAGGAAGTTGAATGGAACGATGATGAGGAAGAGGGTAAAGACAACAACAGCGAGCTAAACGATAGAGGACAACGATAACTATGAGGATGAGGATGTCGAGGGTTATGATGAGGATGGTGAGGAAGAGGAGGAAGGTGATGAGACAACCCAAACGGTTATAGAAACCAAAAGCTCTGACTCAAAACCTGCTCTTGTACAATCAGCTTAGCAAAATAACAGTGAACAAAATTGCTCCAAGTGTTCCTGCTATCTTGCCAGAAAAGACGACTACAGAAACCAAAGCTCAGGGTGGCAAGCAGAATAACACTGCGTCAGGGTCTATGACAATAATGAAGAGCCCTAGTTTAAGAGAGTTACGTTTAAAGATAAGTAGTGTTATAAAGGTATATTTTATCTCAAATAACCGTCTTCTTCTTATCGTTGTGGCATTTCGTAACTGCGCGTAACTCAAGGAAGTTTCAGTCAGCTATACGGTACAAGGAAAATATCGGTTTCCGGCATCACACCACAAAAAGTTGATTTCGGTGGTTACAGTTACTAAGAAAATAAGAATAAACCATATTGTGTTAGTAGAGGAATTGAAAAGTCGACTAACTAGTTGATTGACGCTACAAAGATGACTAAGTGAAAATTGCATAGCATGAATGAAACATTATTTCAAGAAGATTAGATGCTCCCTATTTTTCTACACCTACTATTCAAAGGCTCAGAGAGAGGGGGCCTTAAGACAACCACCTGTTTCGGTTTGGGCGTCCGGACAGTATCCCAGCCCTCGTAAAAGCCATGACGTTTTGTGTGGCTCATTTCTTGGTGATCTTAATGTACCAAGTTTATGTTTTAATAATAATCATAACAAGTAATGCTCAAACAAAGACAATGTTTTTTGCAGGATACATAGGTGACATCTCTTGGTAGTTTTCATTAGGTTTTGGCATCTACAAGTGTTATTATTGTAATTGCGATAAAATGAATCTTCCAGCATCAGTTCAAAGTTTTGACGAACTATTTACATACTCCAAAGGGATATTTAGGTGACTTCTGTTTCGGGCCACTGAGTGGAACCCAAATGGAAGATGACGTATCCGGAGAAAAAAATCAAAATAAAGCGAAATGAAAGCTTGTCAGCGGTTGTTAAGCCAGTTGGAAGTGACGCTTGAGAACTGAGTGCAATAAAGATGTGCTTCTGAAGCCGTGATATACAAGGAATGAATGAAAACAATGATAACAATTTACATAGTTGAAAATGAAAACGAATCTTCTTAGACTGCTTTTACCAATTCAATAATTCCATTGTCTGTCAAATGTGATATAACGAATGAAGGTTCATATGCCTACAAGTGGTTTTTAGCAGTAACCTACTTGATCCCAACCATTTGATGTCATACAAAGAGGTAAAGTAGTAGAAAGTGGATTGCTACACTAGCTGATTCGGTATGTTAAGAGAAACATAGTTTCCATTAAATTTATTTTTTTAGTCAATCTGTGACTCATACATATATGATTCTTCTAGAAACTTTTGAACGCATTGATTAAACTCAGGGACTTAAGGCTTATTATTATATTATTCCTTCGGGTTCCGATTGAAATATAAGGCTTCAATAGCACATCACCGTTTCACTCTGTTATCTGCAGTCCTTTTCAGCGGGCTCCACTGCTGTCCGTAGACTTTCAACTTCTACACTATCTCCTCCATGTCACCCTCGGACACAAACCCAACTCGTTTCCTATTCGGGGTCGAGTTGAGAATTGAACGCGTGACGACACTCAACTCTCTCCTCAGAGTATGCCTAATCCATCTCAACTTTCTTATGCGTTTCTGCTAGGCAAGAGGTTATTGGTTGGCTCCCTCCTCGCCGGAGTTCCTTGTTTCCTATCCCCTCCAACACATCTGATTTCCAGTATGCAGTGAAGACAGCTGTTGATGAAAGTCTGCGAAAGGTCGTTGGAAATGCTTTAGGTGACATGCACGCCAGGTCACTGGATCATGTAGAAGCACTGAGTTGACATCGGTGTTGAGAAACCAGATCTTGTTCTTTATGCTGAGTGTAGCCGATTTCCCCACTGATTTCAAGGTAATTAAGGTCTATCTCACTTTTCCGATCCTGGCTTTGACATCTTCATTCATGCCACTTGCAGTTGAGATGATACTGCTAATGAAAGAGAGGAATAAGTGACCTCCTTCAAAGTTCTCTCATTGATAGTGATTCGTACTCGTTATTGTTGCTGTTGTCGTTGTTATTGGTTAGATGTCTTCATCACCTCTATCTTCTTTATGTTCACTTGAAGTCGTCTATTCGCTGCTTCTTCGGCCTTTCAGCTTTTTGAAAGATTTAAACTTTATTGCTTTTGTTCACCCGGAACAGTGAATTGCATAATAAGCCCATATACTAAGTCAATAATTGTTAGCAGAAAGTCATATGAAATTTCTCAGAACACGTAAACTTAACAGGAATGAAAATGACGGCAAAGTTAAACTATCACAGTTACCTTGGACAACCAGTCGGAGTCGAGGTGCAAAAACTTTGCATAATCGTTGAAAAAATGCACTAAAAACCCACTGCAAACATGATATTACACTATATAGTTGTAGCTTGTGTGTTGTAAGAATGTCTCCCAGTCACTACACAGATGATCAATGGAGAAATCATACCATATGCGACATGTGCATTCATCCAAGCGACTGTATGTAACAGTAATTTGAGATCCATTGATATTTCTGACACTGCTCTCCAACCTACTGCTAACTCTAACCATAATCCTAACTCCTAATCCTCACTCTAACTCTAAACATAACCATAACCCTACCTAACAGTACAGATTTGCAGAAAAAGTACCCAGGAAATAAGTTGAATACTGTATCTTCCCTCTCCAAGTTCTAAAAGGTAGGTATGATTTGTCTTGGAATGACATTTCATAGCATTCCCTGTATCTTAAAGGTTCTTGAGTGTCAACTTTTGAAAGACATTGACATTGGCTGTGATACTTCGCCCAAATGACTTTAATCTTAATTTCCATTTATACACTTGTTAAATTTGAAAATACTGACGTGTAAATTTAAACGTAACACTTAAATAAAATTTATTTCATACTGAATTCACTCTCCGTTTGTTTTATTGCATTTGGATCGAATCGATCGGTCTCTATTGGGACTATTTTATTATTGGCATTTCATTTCTTTCACTTACCAAGTGGAACATAAAACTTCAAGCTTGAGTTTTTGAATTTCCAGTAGCGGTGGTGTTTTTACAGAGTGGGGTTGTTGGTCTCACGTCCAACCGTCTCTCTTTACACAGCATACTAGCTACTAGCCGGAATTTTTGGAGTACGTCGGCAAGGTGTAGGCCCCAGAACACGTGGGTCGGTGGGTGGCGAGTTTGCTACCATTGAACCACCCACACACCAACATTGGTACGGTTTATGTTATTCTTTTGATGATGATAATAATTAGCCGTGGTTTCAGTCAAAGTAGAAACACTTTGTGGGCTCTGAATAGTACAAAAGCGTATGTTTTATACATAAGTATTCGGCATCATCACACAAACAACAATATTTACTCACTCTAAAAAAAGCCAAGGGAGAAATTGAGATTATAGGATTTGTAAGACACCAATCACCAGCTCACTGATGACTAACGGACAGACTTTCTGCACCTGAAGTAGGAATTCGTGACCAGTGGGGTCAGCCATGTCAAGGTGAGGTGGATGCTCGTCGAAGGGATCGGTGACAAATTCCAAATTCATGGGTCATTAAATTTCAACCCAAGTGGTTGAATAGTCGACGAGCTTGACCTCATAACATGAAAATCCCGGATTCGATCACAGGCAGGGTCGTGGGTACTCACTGATGAGGATTCCTGAAATAGGACGAAACAGCTTCCCAGTGCTTCCTGATTTTTAATGATTTCTCTAGCTGGTGTTGGTTCATGAAGAAAATCTTACAATAGAAACTGATCCAAAATTCCCACAAATCTCATAATCTGAAAGGCTATTGTGTTCATGAAACCAACAGCAGTTAAATACGACAAACGACATTAAGCTTAAGTATATAGATGATAGCGATACGCTAAATATTCTGGTCAAAAATGATAATAATAATAATAACTTTAAAAATGTAAGGCTTACTCTAAATATTTTTTCAGTGATTGCCTTGAGTGGATAAAACTGACCACTATCAACAGTAAGTAAAACCAAAAATGTGGTATCATTTAGATAGGTAACATTGGCATACAAAAATCCGCTATAAAAAAAGAGAAAAAAATTGAAATGAAAACAATAATTGATAAATGGTGGGTCTTAAGAGTACTAATATAAGACAATAATGTCATAAACTTTTAACAAAAGTATATACTTCAAAAGATAATTTATTATTATTCTCGAACTATTTAGTGGTAGAATGAAAGACAGCTACGCGGGACGTCCATGTTCGATTCCCAGTCAACGAACTCCTGGATACCGATTAGTCGTTATTAAAAACCAAAAAAATAGGGAAGGTTGGGAGAAAGGCTAGAAACCCCACCCTCTAAAGTCACCACCACCGCTACTAAAACTTCAAAGCTTGAAGTGGTATATTCCACCCAGTGGTACAATAGAGTGAATAATACTGAGGTTAGGCATCGAGTGTTAGGTAAAGACGGAAAGTCAATCAATGAAGTTGTGAAGCTACAGAGACTGCAATAGTTAGGACACCTGTTGAGCATTCCAAGCCATCACCTTCCTCGTCTAGCAATGTTAGTTGACATAGGATCAGGTTGGGAAAGACCTTGTGGTGGTCAAACCAAAACATGGCATCAGTCCATGCAATTTTTGACAGTTAGTCTGAGTCATGCAGTAATCTGTAGACTGCTTGGTTGCGGTCATCGGGATTCTATGAACCAATGGCTGGCTCAAAATCGTCCTCAGTGGTGAAGATGCATTCACTCCTTGTGATCTACTGTGTCCATTAAACTCGATTGTTTTTCCATGTTACTATTCTTTCTGCCTCACATTTCCGATGATTATCGTTCTTTCGAATCTCTTCTTTTCTCTCTTTTGTCTTCCTTTGTGTTATGTGGAGTATGGCTACTTGAACTGCTGCCAGGCCAGTTAGCCAGTCAGTCAGATTTGGAACGCAAAAGAATTTTTTTAAATCAATTAACAGCCAAAACTTGATCTAAGATAGTAGGAAACAATCGATGGGAAGTCTTGTATCTGAGTTTCACGCTTATCGGTAGTCGTCAGCAACAAACATCTGCAGTCTTGAAGAATCCGGTGTTCCCTAGGAATGAAGATTTTTTCGATATGTTGAATGCTACATAGAGGAATTCTTTAAACTTGTGTATCTGTTTTCTTTTTGCAAACCTCTGTTTCTTTTTCTAAACAGACTTGTTAGCATTTGAAATGCTTCATAACTTTAATCAGATACTAATATACATGGATAACTTATGCATTTGTGTGCTTTATCACCGATCAAAAGTAATTCGCATTGAAATGTTTATAGAGCAAGTCACTGACTTTCAAAAAATAACTCCATGTAACCAATTCCTTAAAGACCACCTCGTGCAGCTTGGTCATCCCTGTTGGGCTAATTTGTTACGAGAATACTACTAAGCGGCTTCTCTCTTCTAACCAAAAAAAGCTTTTGACTATATGATGAATCACTAATATGCATTTGCTAATAAACTGCAATAGTACAGAACTATGGTATAAGTGCGCGGACAATAACTTCTTCCCGAACTTTTCACACAACTAGGGCGACCGAAGAAATTTTGATGTAAGTGCTCTCTCTCTCTCTGAGCTGGTGGATTAAATTGCTAAGCTTTCGCCGTCCTTCTAGACAACATCTTCAGTGCAAGCTTTAATATGGAGCAAACTTATTGAAATTTTCCACGAATGATATAATTCCATCTCCGAACAATCTTTGTCGTGATTGGTTGTTAATTTCCATCTGTATTGATCGTTTTTATTGACTTGAGATTTGGATTTTTTGTCACGTGGTTTATTCTTGATTACTTTGATTTCATATGAAGCAGTAACTAGTGTCATGAGTCTTTGTCTAGTGCAGTCTGGAATTCTATTAGTCAAGTTTGTAATGTTAGTCGGTAAGTTTGATCTATAGGAATGTGTCTGTTTGTTGTTAATTTGTCTCAGTACCAGGCTACCTTAAATTCCCTGGTCGTTTAAGTGTCTCAACTGTTTAAAATTTCCACATTTTCCCAAACATATCGGTGTCCATAATTGTCTAAATACATCATTAAGAAAAAATACATGCCGTGTCTTTTCACAGCTAGTTTATGTTCTTGAACTGTGAATTGATGAGGACGCTAACTTAGCTACGTGATAGTTGTATCTACGAGTTTTGTGACAAATAACTACAGTATCTGAATATTTTGTAAATTAATATTAAATTGCTAATGGTAGTATGCGGCTGGCAAGAGCCAACATATTTTTCCTTTCTTCCTGTTTATCAGGGGAAATAATTATATAAAGAAGTGATACTTCAAAATGGAAAGCAACCAACATATTCTTGTTGTGAGATGTGAAAGGAAGGTGAACTGGTAATTAACACCTTTCAAAGTCACATTCAGGTTAACACAATAAGAAATGAGCTATACCTGCTGTGTGAAGGCTAATGATACTACTTAGCTAAACTGCAAACTTACGAATTATTGCTTGAAAGTGAAATGCCTAATCCAATGAACCACAACGTATAATGCTCACACGACATCAAAAGTCATACTGTTGACAGTACTTTGATAAGTACTAACCTCTGCCAACAGTTTCAGACTAAATGAGTGATTTGTTTCCAGTTTGATAATGAGCTGAAATCAGTTAGAGAACTTTTTGAAAACCAGAGAGTCCTAGTGTGTGACTCTTCAGCAGCACGTACCCACTGGGATTCGAAACGAGGACCTTCCGGTTTCAAGGCAAGCTCGTTGACCATTCAACCACTAGGATCCGACTCAATGGCTAATGAATTCTAATTTCTACCAACTCATGATTTTAGTGAGACCACTGGCCAATGTCGTCGACGAGTATTTGTCCTTCCGTCCAACTTGGTGAACTCTATTGGCCACGACTTCTCACTAGAACTTTAGACGACCTTGTCCTGTAACCAATCGCTAGTGAGTCTAGTTTTTAAACAGTATTGTAACTGATGTCAGCTAAAGATCAAACGTGAAAAAAGTCAGATCTCTACAAACTCACTCTCGAATGGATGATAAAAAAATCTACTGAGTAACTAAGCTTTTTATTTGATCTAAAACAAATAATGATACAATACATTATTATTAAAGTTTTTTGTTTTATGCACTTACTTTGGATCAAATTTAGGCAAACAAATCGGCAGCCAATGTGATTGTACTGACTTGAAAGATTGTGAACTACCAATAAGATTAAGAAGTAGGTGAATATCTGATGGGCAAAGATGATAATTTTTCATACGTACAATACTGATAATATCGTCTTTGTGAAATAAAATGGCAAAAACTAAACCCTAATATAAAGAAAAACAAACAGTGAAGAGTAGTTAATGATTAGTTAATGACACCAATAATATCTGAATAGACAGACTGAAATTTTCATGTGTTATGCAAACTTTTATCAACAACTGCCTTTACTGGCTCGATACTGGAGATAACATGGCCAGGAAGAATTAACAGCAAGGAACTCTCTGAGAACGAACCAACCAAGAACTTATTGTTCAATGAACATTCCGAAGAAACTGGAGACGAATGGATCACATGCTAAGGAAGACCGTTGAGTAAGGTCACGCGCTACGACCTAGAATAGAATCCGAATTAGAAACGACCAGTTGACCGTGCAAAAATGACATGGAGGAGACGAAAGATTATAGGCGATCGTGCAGCCAGCCTAAAAAGACTACATAGTGCACAGTGTAGTGGAGATGTCAGTTGAAGCCTTATGTTCCACTCGGTACCCAAGGGAATAATGAATAAATTTTCATGTAAAAACTTCACTGAACACAATTCCTAATTTCTAATTAAATTATGCATTATAGATTTGACTGGTCTATTTTAGAGTTGACTGATTAATTCTAGTGACCACCACCTCGCTCGTCGAGCAATGTTAGCTGACATATGATTACATTAGAAAAGAGCTAAGAGATGATAGAACCCAAACCCAGCATCAATCCGTGAAGTTTCTGGCAGCTGAATTGAGCTAGCTACGTAGGAAAGTGTATACTATCTGATCGGGGTCCTGAGGATGCTAAGATCCAATGGCTTGAGACTGTTAGTGGTATAGGTGAACATTGTTCTCAATGACGCACAGATGTATTCACTCCTTTAAATCTCCCAGGAATATTAAGCCTTTATGTTTCTCAATATTACTGCTCTTTCACTCGTACATTTCTGTTTATTATAATTCTTTTGAGTCTCCTTTTTCCCTCATTTGTCAACCTTTGAGTGCCACATAGAGTGTGGCAACTTGAACTGCTGCACTTCTTTCAAAAGTTCTAGGCTGAAACTTAGATTACTAGATATAATATTTGATATTTGGCTCAAATGAGATGAGAAACGTGACAAATAATTAGGCTTTAACTCTTTTCCAAATATACTGAGTGTTTATTAATTTCTTAAAATGAGTGATTCTCTACGCTTACTCGGAATCAAAAATCGCCTTTCAAAATTAATCATTCACTTTACAATTCCTTAAGAATCTCCCTTGAGTAAGAAATACTTTGACTGGTGATATATGTTAATATAAACGGTAATATATGTTCTTCTTATAGATAAGGTGTGGTTGGTTTATTGACTTTAGCAGTTGTCTTTCTACCTAGTAAGGTAGAACTACCCTCAACTTATGTAGGCGTGGGTAATAATAAAATGTCAAACAAATAATTTGACTTAGAATATAAAGAAGGTGGTTAAATGGTTGAAGGCGATCGGCAGGAAGTCTTGAACCTAGGCCTGATGCTTTTTGGCACTCGTTAGCAAGGCGTATCTGAAATCTTGAAGGGACTAATGTCCCCTCTGAGATTCAAACTCGAGTCATCCAGTAATCCAACAAGAGACATTACCACTGAATTATTCGGGTTCATGATTGACCTCCACCGTAGGACTGTATTGGATACGTTGATTGGACACTACGTAGTAAGCAACTAATGTCATGCATCTAGTCCTTTGTTTGCTGCAGACTGAATCCTATCACTCAAGGAGGTAAAACAAATAAGATAGTTAAGTTTGAGTATTTAGAATAAATGAGCTAGGTGGAAGACGTGAATTCATGTGCTGTATTGATACACTGATCAACTCTACAACTCAGTTTTGTAAGATAACCAATTAACAATTTCACCCCCATGATCACTAGCTTGCAATCCAACCTTACATAAATATTGATTTATTTTATTCCTCTTCATTCCAAGTGGAACATAGGGCTTCAAGCTTGGATTTTGAAGTTTCAGTGGGGTTGGTAACACTACGCCTAACCGTTCTTCCTTACCAGGCTTACCACCGACTAAGCGAAGTTCGAGAGTACTTCAGCCGGAGGTCGAACCCCGGACCAAGTGAGTGGTTGGCAAGTATTCTAACACTGAACCACCCACGCACGATCATTGAAAATAAAAATCTCACGCGAATAAAGATAATTTATAAATCTACCGCAATTGTAAAACAATAAATGAAAGGTATACAAACGACAAGCCCGTGAGTAATAAGATGTGTTCAGAAAAAATAAAAAGTGAAAAAAACTGTAGAAATAACTAGAGTAGTTAGTATGTTTTCATTTACCACATATTTACTCAGCTGCTTATCACAGTGTTGTTCAACGCATGATGAATGATCACAAAACTTGTTTATAGAATAAACAATGTCGTTAAAGCATATCTACGATGAGAATTCTATTTAACTAATCACATTAGTTCATGTAAGAAATCCAGACAAAAACATTGTTAAATTACAAACTGACAATAATCCATAAGGATATACTCTGTTAGAGTACATATGTAAATGTCATAAATAAATTAACATAAGAGGAGACAAAAATGAAAACTATAGTGTCAGAAACCATAGATGACCAAGAGAGTGGAGGAAAAGAGAAATGAATAATGACATATAATATTAGGATCTAGATGGAAACACATGCAACTGCATTACGACTGGGAAGTTTTTGGATTAACCTATTTGCAGCAGACTGACTGTGCATACACTTAACTTTACTTTTGCATTTGGTAAGAAATTGAGTGATCTGAACATATCCAATAAATTCTAGGTGTCATTCGACATATCCCACTTGTTCACTATTGTCTCACTTAAAGAGACAATCGAGATTATTTTCAAACAATTTGAATTGCTTCCCATACTAAGTGAAGACATGAGAAAGTTGCTGTTATGCACAAGAGGAACAGTTTCTTCTCAATAACGAACTTTAAGGATAGACTGATGGAGTAGTCACGGGGAATGCTTTGGGACCTATTTTTGCTGATATATTCAAGGGGAGTTTAGGAATAAACGAAATGCAACTTGCAATTAAAGATACAGTTGTGATTTGCAAACTGTTCCACGGCTTCAATAATGTGCATCGACACAATTTCACAATGGAACACGAATGCGAAGAACAATTTCAGTTCCTGGATTTGTCTGTGAGAAGACGTAATGATGGAACAGTCGACACAGGAATACGCCATAGGGACACCTGAATCGGACAGTATATAAACTATTTCAAATTCTGTCCAATAAAAATAAACAAAGACTAGCTAAGACGCCGTTTGACAGAGTGCGTAAACTTTTCTCTGAAAATAGATTGCATAGAGAGTTGAATTCGCTTGGAAAGCAGTTGTTCAGAGAAATTCATAGGATGTTTCGGGAAAAAAGAGTAATGAAAAGAACGCTATTACAGTAGGGAATAAGTCCTTATTCATCCAGCTTATCTTCAGAGAAGATGATGTATCACACTGTATACACAAGAGAATAAGAGTTACCTTTGCTACAACTTATTTGGCAGCCCCGCTCTTTACCAATCGAAAGTGGACAGGTATCCATATGAAATCACCTCCAAATTTCTCTACAACTTTACATGTACATGACAGGAAAAATTCACTGGAAGGACAAAAAGGTGGGAATCTATTTGCTTCCACGAACACAACCTAAAAGGTCGGAGACTCAAAGATCCGTACTCCTTTACCAGAGCCAGTGGTCAACATCTAATTGAATCAGGGTACGAAGTAGATATTCAAATCTGCTTTTACTATTGTTAACAAATAAAGGAACCCAACTTCACTTTGACTTTCTGAGTCTATTGCTATCATGCAACTCAAACCAAACTTGAGCATAGAGAAATAAACAGTAATTAGTCCCATTTTATCCTGGTGACATCTTTTTTCCCCTTATTACACAATTACGTGTTCTGTCGTTCATTTATTTACCATTCTTGTTATTATTGTCACTATAGTTTCTTTTTCTGACCTACAGATCTTAACTCATACAACTAATTTCTAATCATTTCCAAATCCTTACTCGTGTGGTATTACTTAATCCTATTTTTCCAGTATGCTGTTAGTCTACTAGTGAGTTTTTTGTTGTTAAGTCAACTAACAGAACTTCTTGAATACTCTGCCAAACTTATACTAAATAATCACTTTCTTTTTTGTGTTATTTGTAACTGATTATGCCACCACAGTTCATTCATTGTTATCTCCTTGAACTATACTATCTTCATGCTACTAGAGAAAATGTATGTTCTCATTTTATTTTGCTAACACTATGTATATTTCAAGTTGTCGGCAGTTGAAGAGAAGCCTAGAAATGAAATGTGCACGTACGTTCTATACTGCGAATTTTGTCCGTCTAACTTTGACGAAGATGATCAAGGGAACAGTCTGTATTAGTTTCGGATCAGAGTTAGAAAATTATAAGCATTGTAATCCTCTAAAGCAATTGCCAATCATAAGAGTCGATTTTACACAAAACAGAAATTTTTACTCCACATATAACTTACACGTAATTTAGCACTATGATAAATAATCTGTGATATTGCAGACCGAATATTTTCTGATAAAGGTGTACAACTGATAGCATTCAATAAAACACCAAAAGATTCTTCTACACGATTGATCATAGAAGATAAAAGCCGACTGTCTCCAACAAGAAGTCTGCGCAGATCTAAGTTTGCATGCCTTGTAAACTGTTTTTCCACCCTCTGTACAGTTAGTGAACTTATTATCTGAAAATCAAAATCGGTAGTGGTAATAATAATAATAGCAATACAATGGCAACAACAAAACTCAAGGGACAACTATACCAATAAGAGGAATGTAATAATTCGTAGGGAAGTAATGAAAAACGAGTGCATCGCACAAACTTTAGAGGTTTTTTATTTGAAACTCCGTTAAGTGACCTTCGGTGTCTCCAAATAATCTTAAGAGAATTAACCCTGATCCGAGGATTCGGATGACCTTAATTTCTATGCAGTACTTATTTCCAGAAAATTAGTAGTGTTTTTACTAAGATAGTAGGTAAGCATAACTAAGCACTTAACCAAACGAGGCTACTGAGTGAACAGTAACTGAACAGTCTAACTGTTCAAACCTTCCTATAATGAGTTTAAATCCTAAGACATGTAACTCTGAAATGAAATGACATGTTTTTTTCGAAGTTTAGTCATTTTTAGAAACTGGTTTCGATGGTTTGAACGTGTGGTACAAATGTCGTCCCAGTGACTTTTGTACGGTAAATTCTTTGCCAGCCATAGAGCTGGTTGAAAAAGATACGGGGGGGCAGTTAATCGTGTGGTGAACCAGTTGTTTGAGGTCAGAATTCCTTACATCCGGTAGGACATGTCAGGCGACTCGATGGTTTGAGAATTTAACGGATACATCTCAGAAGCGAAATCAGTCATCAAAGTAATTTTCTAGAGACTTCTACTACCATAAATAACATAAAGTGTTGGTTGATACTTTACATACACTCACGCAAAATGATCATTATCTTATTCTTTTCTTCTACTTCTCACATTGATGATATTAAATTCTGTGATTTATTTCGTAACTTCCATGAGGTGAAAGAACTTTGCATTTAAATAGTTTTATTTTATTGAAGCAAACTTGGTACATTATGGGCACCGAGAAATGTGCCACACAAAAATGCTTAGTTTGTGAAGTAGCTGGAATACTACTCGACCGCCCAAATAGAAGCAGGTGGTTATCTTCAGGGATCATCCTCCCTGAGTTTTTCACCAGAAATCAGAACCACAAGGCAACGGAGCAGAGTCAGGAGCTACGTCCCCATGGTTGACGGTAACTAAAACAGGTTCATACACCATTTGATCCGTTTGTATTTTGGAGCTCATGACCACCATATGTTTGGAATCAGGGTTTTCCAGGTCCCTTAGGTAGACCTGCGCCACCACTAGTCCTGTTGTAGGCTTCAGGCGTTCAAATTCGCCTTTTCACTTTTGTAAGGAACACCCCAACCGCATGAAGGTAATGAATGGGACTTACCTGGCGGACGCTATGAACACATGGTCATATGAGAGTATTTCGAGAGGGAGGCCGAAGTCGACCCACCCTTGGAAGTACCAGGTCGTTTGTGGGGGTATATTTAAATATAGAACAGATATTAGCAAACACAAAGGATAGTTATTCTTTTCCTAGAGGATTTCTCAGCCAATTTACAGAATGCTTAATAATTCTAATTCCTTAATCGTAAGGAGGATTCAAATTTTTTACAAGCAAATCAAAAGAAATATAGTCTAGATATCAAGTCGATGTTTTGTTAATATTTATATTTCTAATATATAGTAATAAAATTATGAGCAAAATAGTTTAATAAAACAAACCTGATCGTAAACATAGTTAAGACAATTCAACAAATGCAGAGTAGGCTCAGAAATCGGACTGAATGCTACCAGAATTAGATGTGAACGGGAAATGAACAGGAACTTTTTATCAGATGTATTTATCACTTGCAGTTCATCACCAGAGTTATCAACAAAAGAAACAAGCGCTTGCATAACACTCATCACAGAAGATACATTACTTTCGTTTCCATACCTAGTGAATAATTCCTTTACATTATTTTAACATACCTCCAATAAATTGGTTTACCAGCCTCACTAAGAACAAAGATATGAAGCATGTCATCTGTCCAACAAGGTTCTTCTGAGCTTGAGGGAATAGTTATTTCTGTAGAAGATGGTTTACGACTTCTACCCTCAGAGTTCTCATCACTAATTAAATTACTTGATGAACCAACAACCTCATCAACATCCTATACACCAACAATAAATAGAAAAGTTGGATACTTTAAATTGATTGGTCTTTAGCACTTCAGATTCTTCCAGTATACGTGCAACGGCTCCTGTATTAGGGTGCTCTGGTGTATTTTTATCGACAAATGGTTTGGCATCAGATTCAGTATTGTGACCCACGTTCTCTTCAACTTTGTTTGTATTACCTTCTTCATCCATAAGTAATACAATATAAAGTTATCACTGCAGGTAATACACCAACATGACAGGACAATTCATATATGCCCAAACAATAAGTCTATAATTTAGAAAATACACAAATATATGTAAGCATATTCAAAAATAATTAATATAAGTGATTATATAAAAGCATTTCAGTGGGACAAATATTTCTGAATGATTAACTAAGTTCCGATATAGAACTTTACACACACACACACACACACACACACAAGTGTATCAGTTCAAGTTGCTACATTCCAAGTAGCACAAAAAGGTAGAAAAGGGATTCAGAATGACTATAATAAAAAGAAATGTAAGAGAAAAAGAATAATAACTTGGAAAGACATCATGGTTTAGTGCATATGGAGGACTACAAAGAGTGAATGCATCTGCGCTAATGAGAACGACTTTGAGTCATATCATCAATAGTTTCCGACCATTGGTTCTTAGAATTCCGATGACCCCAACCAAGCAGTCTACACATTACTGCATGGCTCAGACTAACTGTCAAAGATTTCATGGACTGATTCTGTGTCAGCTAATATTTCCCATTGAGGAAAGCGATGACTAGGCATGCGTAACACGTGCCCTAGCCACTTCAATCGACATAACTTCACAATCTCATCGATTGACTTCCCCTCCTTTTCTAACATGCTCAACCTCGATATTACTCTTACACCACCTAACATGGAGGATAGAATGCAGACACCTATGATCAAAGACAGCTAGCCTTTTCACTTCCAGCACTCTAAATGGCCGTATCTCACAGCTGTAAACGACGAAGAGAACTGCTGAACAGTACACGTCCTTTGGTTGACAACCGGATATATATACCAGAGATGATGCAAGTTGTAAAATGCCGTATCAGCCTTTTGTATTCGTGCTGAAATTTCATCAGCAATCAGTTTATTAGGGCTGATGCAACTTCCCAAATAAGTGAATTGGTCAACACACTCCACGACTTTCATTATCTTTAAGCTAGGAGTCGGTGAATTTCAGTCCTTACACTTGACAGGAGCAAATTTCATGCCAAACATTTGAAGCTTTCCGCTCGATGTGTTTATAAGACTGTTTTTTGTCAGCGTTTTCACATAGGACTACACTATCCATGTACTCTACGCCAACAAGACTAACCTCTGGTAAAAGGTCAACCCCTAAGTTACTTAAGTCAGTTAGAGTCGATTCGATTAGCACATATAAGGTGAAATCCCTGACAGACACCAATGGCTGTTAACACTTCAAATGACAACTCTTCGTAAGCCCTTGCAAAGCTGCATGAGTTCGAACAGGCTGTTTTTATTAGTGCGATATATTTCCTTGACATTCGCTTCACGGTTGGACTTTGCCACAGCACATCGCGGTCGACGGAGTCTAATTTCGCCTTCAGGTCAAGAAATATAGGAAGCGCCGGGCGCCGGTAAGTATTTCTGTGTCTCCGAATCTGTTAAAGGGTGAATATGTGATCAATACATTCTCTTCTTGGCCCAAAACCTGCCTCATTTTTCAGTGTTTATATAAATATACATATATATACATATATATAAGAGAATTAAATCAGACAGTATATATTGATAGATCACTTTTTTACACTTTTCCATACAATTAGACTTCAATTTCATGGTATATATTTATTATTCTCCAACCTTCATGCGGTAAACTTCAGTGGAAGTAACTAAATAGCAATTTGAAACCTTTCCAACTGAATTTTGATGTCTTCTCAAATATTAAAAGCCCGAATAAATGAAAGAAGATTCGTTTTGCGCATCGTGATCAAAAGTGACGATTGTTAAATTTACTAAGTCGAAATTAATGCACCAAGCTTTTACTCACATACACATTCCGTTGATACATGTCATTATAGGGTAGGTATTTGGAAGCTCTCAATAAGCAGCTACACATGTCAATAAAAAATTGATGTATAATGCATTAGTAATAATATCCCATCCTTATAAAGTAACCGATTGCTGCACAAACTATTCGCCCGAAAAATCATGAACTTATTTGTCTCACATGGCATGCTTCTTTACTTATAGAAGGGGTTTGACTTCGATCGTGTGCTGATTTGATAATTTTTGGCTGAGACGAGTAATTAGAACACATATGTTAATCAAGACACTTGAACTCACAGCTGTGTAACAGCTGATGGAAAGTTGTCATCCGAAGTGACGACAACCACCGATGTTTACCATATGCCGCTACGGTTGAATATTTTAATTTCATTTATTATAAAACCAAATACGTACCCATGTAAATGCTATGGGAAAAGTTTGTTTTTTCTCCCCGACCCCCGTACGCACACAGATTTCACTTACACGTTTACAACGACTGCCTACATAAACTATATATGTATTTGCATAATCTCATTATTATTACCACGTTGATTGTTATGTACTAATTCATACACTTGGACTGCAATCACACTGTCCATAATGATATGAAATGTCTATGGCGGGTAAATTTTTTTACTTAAGCCATGTTCTCTAGTTTCAGCAACTGGTCTTTCGATTTTCACAATGGGGACTTTCAAATTGTTGAGGTCGCGTTGATGAATTAATTTATCCAATTCCAGTAATTTGTCAGTCTCAAAATTTAGTGTTTCAAAGACGCGTTTGTTACACAGTATCAACAAATGAAGCACAATTTTTGTTAACATTTTTGAAACATAGAATGGTGTACACGCAATTGGATACCATAATTGTTATCTTTTCTTCGTGATCTTCATCAGATAGATGTTATTGCCATGGTACCTAGAATCGAGGTCAGTACTCCAATTTGCTAATAATCATATAAGTTTACTTAGTGGGTTATGTGACGTAGGTAAGAACGTGCAAGTAAGACGAGTGGTGACAGAACGTTACCACTGATAACTTTTTTGTCTCATACATACAATAAAAACTTTGCTAGTGTGAACTTTATTTAGTTTTCAGAGTGTCTCAAAATAATCTGACAATAAATGATTTTTGGAAAGACAGGAATATGGGGTTTAAAAACAAAACTGTAAGCCTGGAATCTAGCACTTGGAGTGAAGAAAACACATCTCTATCTTTAACTAAGTCCAGACTCTTTAATTAATCAGATGCTGTTTCCACTAGCACTATTTGCATGTTGTAACTAAGTATTTACAAGCGAAATCTAGATAACGCAATTAAAAGGTAGAATTTAATAACTCAGAGCAATGACTCGACACGCTGTATTCTAAAGTGGGTCAGAATGATTTCAACTAAACTACTGAGTGACCTAATGACATTATATATATATATATATGACTCCACATCAACTTTTGTTTGTTTTTCATAAAAAACGAGCACAAAACTCAAAACTGTTTTGGAAACAAATGATATATTTAATGAAATTTGCTGATTTGAGGTCACAAAACAGTACAATACCCGGGTGATAATCAAATTCCCCACTAGAAGATAAAACATTTGGTGGAAAGCACGCAAAACGATGAATGGAAATAAGTACTGAAAAATCCACGCCCACATATTGAAAGGACATAAGTTATAGTATAGGCAGATATACACTAGAAAAGCATTTTCAAACCTATATATCTCATTTAGACTACGCACTTTCAACATAGGAATTAGATGCACATATCAAAACACCCAGCAGTTACTCAGTGTGAACTTAGGAATTTTCGAGGGTCGGAATTCCAGGGGCCACTTCGGGACTTATAACATCACATTCAAAAGTCATGGGAGTTTTTTTAATAGAGAATTCAAACTATGATTTGCCCTCCAAAACAAATTAGACTGACATGTGGTAGGGAAAACTCGAACTATGCATCCTTTCTGTTCAGGATTTGGATAACGTGTTTGGAGGAGGTTGAGATTCTGACTACGTGATTAGTTGGCTGTGTGGAGTAACCAAGATACACAGAAGGGTCTTGACAACATAATTAGGTTTTTATAGGGACTGAGATTTCGAGGTATATTAACGAACAGAATCAGAAATATGAGCAAATCTGGCAACAGTGAAGAATAAACACCTAAGTCAAATAGCCTTGAATCGACCAATAAGATAACTCGGCATTACACACGGACGTTGTTCATAATCTCCTTTGCAAGTTTTCCCCCATATGTTTTAGCAGTAATAATACAACGACTAGTCCCCACAGGCACTACCATTCACACACTTGAGTGGAAAGGTTATTCGCAACTATCATCATTAGACTATATGCCAAGTTTCCCAGTCGGTTACTTTTTTGGACCTGGGATATGTGGGTAAAAACGTGGGCAGTTTTCCATTAAAATTTGGGCAAAGTGGGAAAAGGTAGGCTGTTTTTGTTTGTAACGTGGGTAAAGTGGGAAAAAGTGGGCTATTTTCTAAAATGACATGGGCGAAGTGGGAAAACGTAGCAACTATTTTCTGGAGACGTGGGTAATGCGGGAAAATATGGGAAACACGGGAAAGTGGGAAGAATGGTGGCATTTCCTTTTTGTAGCGCAAACGTACTTACATCTGAAATGCATGAGTTGAGGCACATTTCAGCCTGAATATTATACAATTTGCATTTAATCACTGGGAAGTTGCATGAAGACAATGCTGAATTAATTAAATTTAAATCTAGCTAAATCTGAACTAACTCTATTTTGAAATGGTTTAATTGAGCGCACAGACTAGAACTAAGTGATGGCTTTCAGCATGACTAGCACTAATTCAGCACCCTGTTCTTTTTCTAGGAATTTCTAGTATACTGAGTTAATTTATCAGCGCTTTTTCAGCGCTCACAGCCAATATTCAGCACTGCATAGCATTATCTGAGACCGAGAAGACTTATTCCAGCGCATAGTAAATAAATATGGTCATCTTTTAGATAATTACACGACCTTTTAAAGTCGTGTAATCAGGATTAAGAAGCAGTAAATTTACTGCTTCTTATTCCTGATTAGTTTATAAGGGTGATTGTAGAAGCCAGCTTTCGGGGATGCTATATTGTTACCTCACCCTTTTTCGTTCTGGTGCAAGCTGCAGCTACATGTAGTCTGATATGTTTCACAAGTTTCGAAGTTGTACAAAAAACTTAACTGTTTACTAGTGAACACCTGGGTAAATCACTCGACTAGACTCTCAAAAAATTTTAATGTCATTTATACACTGCGAATAGCTCGTTGCGGAGACGTGTAACCGACTAAGACGAATTTAGACATACTTCTCGCTAAGTTACGCAGCACTTGAAAGTGGCGCAATATTCAATACCGTTTTTAATAGGAAAGTGTAGACTAGTCAGGAAATGACTATTTCTATCAATCCGGAAAACATAAAACACAACTTTATCAAATCCTATTGAAGACGAAAATTTATTAAGTGAAATTTCAATCAAAGTGATGGATAAATCCAGCCGTGTAGACAAGTTTGTTAGTTTGTGTTCTCATCTAAGTTGTTGAGCTTCTGACTATTTTGTGGCGCCGCTCGATTGTCGTATGTCTGACTGACTACAAGGGAAAGGATGTGGAGATTGGTTATAGGTGGTTTCAAGAATGCCCTTTTACGACTGTGCTGTCGCTGGGAATGAGTTAATCTTTCCACCATTAAGTTGTCAGCTGTGCTCTGAATGTTAGATAAAAAATATAAAAATGTATATTATTATTGAATATTATGTGGACTTCAAAAGAAAAATGGTCATACAAATACACATATAATAAGACCTAATAATTAAAAAGTGAACTTGTTGGTGTTGTTGGTAAAATAGTGAGACAAGGGAAAATGGACAGTGGCAAAGAATAAGTTTAGATGATATCCGTTAGTAGAGTGAGGTATTTGAGTCTCAAGCGTATGGTCTATTTTGACATTCCTTGTGCTTCTGCATGAATTTCCATTATCCAATTAAACCTTTCCTCACAACTCACAGTAACCGCAGCTCCGGGTAAAGAGCTCCAGGGATGGTTCATTAGGTGCGAGAGAGAATAAGAGCGCACTTTAATCTGCGTTTTGTGATACATTATCCTTGAGGTATTTCCATGAGGAACTACGAAATATCCTGGTAACAATATATCTTTGTTCGGGTCATTTTGGCCATTTGTAATCTTGTGAGCAGTAATTAGGACACCCCAAGCCGATGATAGCTGAGTGTGAAAAGTTTGTTTCGAAAAATTCCTTCGACCCGTGAAGTGTTCAAAGAAACCCAATCCTTCAAACACATGATTTGACTGCAGTTTCCAAACTTCAGATTATTGATGCCACAGATAATCGTCTCCAGAATGAGGGAGATAAATAGGATTTATTAAAAAATTAAATAATAGTAATATATTTGTTCCTAACAGAATGATGTGCAATATTAATGTGATGTGTCGGCAACAAAAAAGACTTTTTCGCCAGGTGCTTAGCGTAAAGCACTACCTGTGTGAGGCAGAGCAAAAACCAAATCAAAATACCTTCCTAAGTACTTGTACAACATTTAGTGTCAGACAGGGGCTTACTTCCTTCGCATATGGACAAACAGCTAAGGAACAGGGAATCGCGTTTAGTCCCCTGTGTTGAAGATGTGGTATTCTGAATCTTAAAGGATAGGCGTAAAGACACCTGACACACGCTCGATACCATATCACAACACACTGTGTCGTCATGTTTAGGGACTTTGAAATTATATCTGCACCACCAAGGAAGTTTACCCAATTCTAAAGTGACGAGGGAACGATCGAAGTGTGAGTGATAGTGGGGTTAGATTCTTGCTCACGTGATTTCAAGGGAACATGGCGAATGCTGACTAGCAGATATAGTAGTGGTCAGAAATGTTATTCGTTACAAATCGCAGGACAGTAACGTGAATTTTGAAGGCTCAGATTTAAACGTGAGTTAAGTTGATCATAATAATAAACTATCACCAATGATTAGACCTAAGTGACAGATGACGCTTCTGCTTCCACCATCTACCATTTTGCCCAGCATCATGTCACGATGTGATTCCGTGAGCCCTACGCAGACTGCTGAAACATTATAAAACTTATCGCGTCTTAATACTTCGAATCTTTTCATCACTCTTCTCACTGAACTACCATTTTTGTATATTTCATAATGATTTTCCCCTGAGCACCGAGATATTGTTACATATCTGCCCAGGTTCTTCATAAAGTTAACACTTGATCTGTAGGTCCTCTTCAACACCGAATTATATGGCCACCCAGATGTTGTCAGTGATTAAAAAACTCAGAAGAATGAAGTAAGCATTCACGTAGGATCTATATCTTCTTTAATATTTGCAAGGCTCTCTTTTTCTATTGAATGATGAATGTTCCTCCTTTTTTGATTGGGTATGTTCTGCCTTATATTCCGTCCATCATACTTCCAAAATATAAGATTCATAAACACCGCTGGTCTGCTACAGTAGCACTGGTCACCTATGGTTAATTTGTATGATCGTTTTGATAGATTAGTCGACTTCCAAATTGGTTAGCCTATTTGTTACTTCACATTTTGTCTTCTGTTGGGGTGCCACAATGTTTCCTAAAACTGGCTTAGCTTGCGCCTGTCACAATATTCTGGTGGCTCTGGAAGATATGACTAAAGCAGCCACTACATCCCCATTCGATTATATGAGTTTGTGCAGATGCCACCTTGTCTCCGGACTATGCGCAAACTTTCTTGAGATTAACGGATGACTTTATTCGTGAATGACCGTTCAACACAGCATACACAGATGACCTACTCATCGCCACCATGGATAGAAACGCATACGAAGATCAAATTTAGGCAGTATTACGCATATTGGAAGACAAAGGTATGACAATCAATCAAGGTACGTATTTAGGGCAGAAACGATTGAATTCCTGGGTTATGCCACTGACAGTACAGGGACTGCACTCATGCCCATCATTATTATTATTGTATCCTTTAATTCCTACAGGAACATAGGGCTTCAGCCGCACGTCTCCACTGGGTTCGGTTCTCTGACAACATTTTCACCTGGCTCCACGTCTGCCCACATGCCTTCATCTCCTTTTCACATGACCTCCACCTTGTCACTCTCGCACTGACAACCAACTCGCCGCTTCCCGTCCGGGTTCCACTCGAGCGATGGCCTGTCGTGTGATGTCCCTTGATGGTTTGTTTTCTCAGAGTATGACCAATCCATCTCCATTTCTTCCTGCCTATTTGTTGCACAATCGGTTCCTGCTTGGTTGGTTCGCTCCCACAGGTCCCTATTGCTGATCTTTCCTGGTCATCTGATCTTGAGTATTGAGCGAAGACAGCTGTTGATGAAGGTCTATGGTTTGTATGAGGTGCTCTTTATGAGACGCCGTCTCTGATCTGTATAGTATCACTGACTTCACATTGGAGTTGAAAATCCGGATCTTATTTTTGATGCTGAGTGCTGTTGACCTCCACACAGACTTGAGAGTACTGAAAGCTTGTCTCGCTTTTCCGATTCTTGCTTTGATATCCTCGTCAGTTCCGTCTGCCTGTAGTTGAAACGATGCTTCCAAGGTAGGTAAAGGAGGCTGTTTCCCTCAGGTTCCTCCCATTTATACTGATCGTTGTCAGTTGTTGTTGTTGCTGTTGGTGGTGTTGCCCCGGAATTTTCATCACCTCTGTTTTATCTATGTTCACCTGAAGTCCCTCCTATCTTTGATGCTTCTTCTGCCAACTTGTTGCTTTTCGCTTGCATGTCTTCCAGTTTGTGGGAAATCAGACATATATCATCGGCAAAGTCCAGATCCTCCAAGTTTTTTGTGTGTCCATTTTATGCCTGTTTCCTCATTGCCCACTGTTTGTTGCATTATCCAGTCTACTGCAATCAAGAAAATCATTGGCGATAGTAGGCAGCCAGCTTGTCTTACTCCTGTCCTCACTTCGAAGGATTCCGTAAGTTTCCCGTTGTGGATTACTTGGCATGCAACATTGTCGTATAGCTGTTGGATGAGATGTATTATTGTCGGTGGCACACCGTAGTAGCGAAGTAGTTTCCAAATCACCTCTCGATCGACGCTGTCTACTGAAGGCCTTTTCAAAGTCGATGAAGTTGAGATAGAGAGGTGACTGCCACTCCAAGCTTTGTTCAATGATGATCCGTAATGTGGCGATCCGGTCAATGCATGACTTGTTTCTGCTGAATGCAGCCTGTTCCGGTCGAAGTTTTTCATCCAGGGCTTGTTTGATTCTCTCCAGGATGTTGTGGCTTAGTATTTTGCTTGGGATGGACAGGAGCATAATTACGCGCCAGTTCTTGCATTAAATTAGGTCTCCTTTCTTTGACAGTTTGAATAAGTAGCCTTTCTTCCAATCCTCGGGTACTTTGCCTTCTTTCCACACCTTCTCCAGCAGTGGCGTCATCAAGTCCGCTGTTGTCTCTGGGTCCGTTTTCAATGCTTCTGCGGGGATTCCATATGATCCTGCTGCTTTTCCAGCTTTTAGCATCTTGATTGCCTTCAGGACTTCTGATTTCGTCGGGGGTTTGGTGTTCACCGGTAGCTCTGTATCCGTTGTTGGTATTGCTGGGCGCGTTGTAGGTGGTGGTCGATTTAGGAGTCTTTTGAAGTGTTCAGCCCAGGGTTTCCTTTGCTCCACTTCTTTGGTGAGTGACTTTCCATTGTCATCCTTCACCGGCTTGATTTGTGTCAAACGTTTGCCCAATAGGTACCTAGTAGTTTGGTAGAGTGTTGCGAGATCTCCTTTGCCTGCAGCTTGTTCTGACTCACTTGCCATGGTTTCATAGTACTTTCTTTTATCTTCTCTGGCACTCTTCTTTACTCTTTTGTTCAGTGTCTTGTAGCTTGCATTCAAATCCTGTTTTTGCTGCTCATCGGTGCACTGGAGAATCTTTTGTTTCACCACCCCTCTCTCTTCTATTAGTTTCCAAGTGTCCGTAGTGAGTCATTGCTTGTCCTGTCTCTTCTTTCTGCCTAGAACTTCCATGCAGGTTTGACTCCACCCTGTCTTCAAGTTGTTCCAGTGCTTTTCGACGCTGACCTCTTCGCTAGTGTTGATTTGTGTCTCGGCTTTGTCTTTTATGGTTGCAGTGAAGATGTCTTTTGTGTCCTGCTCCTTCAGTTTTTGAGTGTTGAACTTGGCTTGGGGTCTGTCTGCAGCTGCTGTCTCTCTGAAAGCTTTTAATTTGGTTTGGAGTGTTCCTTGTACGAGATAGTGGTCTGAGCCAATGTCTGCTCCTCTTCTTACTTTTGTGTCCAGCAGGCTGCGCCTCCACTTGCTTGAGATTGAGATGAAGTCGATTTGGTTTTTGGTTCGCCCATCTGGTGACAC